TTTACATTGAGCACTATTTTGTAAAAATAAAAATATCAATAAGAACACCGGATTATATATCTTACTATTCTATCTTTATATATATATATATATATATATATATATATATATATATATATATATATATATATATGTTGTGGATTCCGGTTGAAATCCGGTAACAATAAATAACAAACGCCAGGAAAGAATATATGAAAATAATGTATTAACGTAATAATACAAACTGGTAATGCAGGTTAGTAGTTCCAGAAATACGGGTTAGTAGCAAAATATATATACAGTCTTTGGTATTGAAGTATCGCTGTATGACTTCTTACGGAGTCTACGTGCTTGCTCACTGTGACTCCTACGACGCTGTTATCTCACCCCCACTCTTCCGGTTACCTACAACTTTTTACTCTGTCACTCTGGAATCGACTCGACTTGACTCTTTGGTCTTGCTCTCTCTCTCTCGTCTCGCTCTTGCTGTAGTATATGTATATACTGGGTGAGTTCATTTGTATAAAAAGGGACCCTACCCCCCAATAATATATATATATATATATATATATATATATATATATATATATATATATATATATATATAAAATAATTTTAAATATGATATTTTGATATGAATCGGCGTCATTAGAAAATTTATTTTAATTCACAAAAGTTACATTAGACTTTGTTGAAATAAAAATTCTGATATATAAATATATATATAATGAATGGCCAGTTACTCGGTTTTCGAGCACACCCGTCTGCTAAGGTGGCTTGTCAATCCCTGCTGCAGACACCTGCTCAGGGACATTTGTGTTTGTTGAGCACACTAGTAGATTATGCGGTAATTATGCTGAGCAGACCTTAGTTACAGTTTCTGAGACACAGCGAGGGCATAGTCTATCATGATCAGCAGTTTGAAAAGCTCAAACTATCGGTCACAATGACTTGTGTCTTTGTCCTAGCAGAACCATAGGCGGCTTCCTAACAGTCACGTTTACTCGATTTCACTCACAAGGCACAGGACAACCCGTAGTATGGCAATTTTCAAAGGTGCTGGGATCACCTACTCAGATCGATAGCAAGAAGATATCGCTTTCCGGATAAATCGATCATGGTAAGGTTCGAACCCAGGTCTCATAGTCGGAAAGCAAAAGTTCTAAATGTCTAGGTATATGTATACTCTCATTTGTATATACATGCATATAAATATATATGTTTACACACACACATGTACGTTTTTATGTGAACACAGATGAAGATAGAAAAATATAGCATAGATACACACATCTGTATACACACATCTGTTTACACATATCTGTTTACCCATATAGTTTTTGTTTAATATATTCCTATTACCTTGGCAACGTATTCATTTTAAATAATTCGTATATTCCCAGTGTTTCTTAGCAGGAATCTTTTAGCGTTCAATATTATCGATATTTCACTGATTTCCGATAGCGTATATTGTCTATTTCCGATCCAATCACAGATGAAGTGACTTTGATCCTTGGTTAGTCGCTAATTTATCTGTAAACCTTCGTTCTCAATGAACGACATTCAGACTCATATCTCTATAAAAACGGTGAAATATATTTGAGTCGAGATCTGTGGCGTAGAAAAATGTACAGAGAGGTTCTCTGAAAATCTCTTTGAAGTTGGAGATATCATACCTAACAGTAATACAATTTATCATCTATTCTACAAGTTATTCGAAGTGTCTTTTTTGTTTTTGTTTTTATCATTACGTTTACAAAAAATCAAAAATGAAGAGCTTTATCAAATAACACACACCGCATCACTTGAACACTTCCAACAGTAGCAACAACAAAATTGGGAAGTGAAAATAGAAGATAAAATAATAATATAATTAAGCTGTTAACTTTCCGCAATGCGAAAAAGCAAAATAGTTCGAAGGAAAATCACGAAAATTAGAAAGAGTTATAACATTTAGTGGACTTTGGAAGTCTAACTTCTTGAAAACTGTTTTAATAAAAAGATTTTATAAATTTCAACCGACATATATTTTCGGTCAATGGAAATCGAGTGTTTCGTCGATGGAAACGGTTAATTGTATAATTACCATTGCAATTCGGCTGATATATTATTTCAGCTTTCCTTATTGTTCAACATTCTACGACGAGACGTTGAAATTCTTACGATTATTATTATTATTATTATTATTATTATTATTATTATTATTATTATTTCCTTTGATTTATTATACACATTTCCTTCCTTGTCCCAACCAGAGACCTGAGGTCAGAAATGGCTTCATGACAATTTCCACTGATCATTTTTGTGAATAAAAAAATAAACTAAGATCACACACATTTCACATAGATAAAGCTGGTTTTCGTAATGTGTGAGCTGTAGTTGTGTGTACAATTTTTTTTGTATTTTTTTAAGGCATGGGCTACCAGGAATACCTTCAATGAGTCTATCGAAACATTATTACTATTACTGTTTTTATCACAACGTCACAGATCATTCTTTCAACCATTTTCCTAATACAACCCCAGTAAGATATCCCGTTTCATATATAAATTAATGTTATGACTATTATTTAGGTACCACCACTAATTCGGTATACGCAAGGTTTAAAATTATTTTTTTAAAGTGAAAGAGCTTTATTGAAGATTTCATTTTAGCTTTAATTGAAAGCTAAAGGATTTAAAATTTACTATTTCCAGTAAGCAAAATACTCTGTGATGTATTTCAAACAGAAATTGTATTGATCAGAATCGATTTTTTTCCCAGTAAAATCGATCAAAAGAGCCATTTTTGACAGATCTGTAAACAAAAGTTAATTCTCGGTTTTAAAAATCTTGCAAAAATAAAATATTATCTGAGGAAAATTAGAAAATTTAAAGTTAAATTAATCTAATTTGAAAGAAATATTACTTACTTATAGCATAAAATGTTGTATACAAACATTTCTTAACTACGAGGTCTTGTTTTTCTGACGTGTTAATCGATTTATTGACAGTCGATCGACAGCCGAACGTGTTCATGGTTAAGTATGATGGAGTAGACAATAAAGTTCTTTTTCGCCGTAAGCACGTGGCCTTTGGAGGATAGATTTATACTTCAGAAATTCTGCGCGTAAACACTCATACAAAAACAAGTCGAAATTCTTTTAAAAATATTCGGAGTCGTCAGATTGTACTAAGATTTACAATATATGATTAATAAATATAGTTTTACTTAATAGCAATATTTACTAAGAATTATCACATTGAAAATGAATTTTTAAAGATTTAAAAACTTTATACATTATTCAATTTAAGATCTGCCAATTTTTTACAGTCCGTCTTCGTCGTTTAAAGTGCCGTGGGTTATATATACCCATGGGCGAGTGGTTTGAAATCAGAGTTCACCGTGACGTCTTGTCATTATTCTAGCCATTGTAATAAGCCCGAGGAGTCCATTACTTTCTGTCACGGCTCGAAGTAGTAGGGTCAGTTTCTTTCTTCGAGATGACATGCGAGGTAGATTTGTTTTGCAGTTTACCTTCTAGCCGTTGCTTAAAGAAGATGAACCTATAAGGCAGCAAACGGTTTGAATTCAGAGTTTCCTTCTCCTAGACTAATTGCCACTCAAGGCTATAGGACCCAGTTTGTTCTACTATTTTATCCATAGCTGGGGAGAGAAAAAGAGAATTCATATCTTCCCAAGGGTATTACCACGTGTGAATGTAATGAACTCGACTGGAATTCGAACTCGGCTCACTGAGACCTCAATTTGAGCCGCTATTTCTCCACCGTACCCTTTTCTCAATAGTTAATAGTAAGAATTTTCTTGCTTTCATCGATTATCTTGTCTAGTAGTTGTTTCAATTTTCCTTTTTTAATTTACCATCGCCATCTTGTCGGCTGCGTGCAGAGGTTAATCCTGGTATATCTTCTCCTTCTCTTATATTCATCTCGATGTACATATTTAAGTAAATCTGGTCAGAAAACCTGTGTCGCACTCCTTTCTTGATTTAATTCGTTATCTGCATGTAAACTGTTTGTTCTCAGTACAAGATAGACATTATATAAATATATTTTACTTGTAGATCATTTTACGGAGTTCTTTCTCGTGCTTTATCGAATGTCTTTGTACAATCTCTGAAAAAACAGCAACGTGCTTTATGCATTTCTATTTAAGGAAAATGAAAGCACAAATGACACTTATAAATTGGACTGATTTTAAATGTGAATTAAGTTCTAAGCGTCTAATGATTTTTTTTTCTTTTTCTTTCAGATTTAACAACTTAAGTCTTTGGCAATTTCAACCATGGAAACAATCAAACAACGTGTTAAAGTTATCGAAGTCTATTACGAAAATGGATGTTCAAACAGAAATGCATTTCGCGATTTTTTTTTTATGCCAACATAATCGACCAACCGAGAGTGCAATTGGAAACGATGTAACGTTGTTGTAGAGAGGTTCAATTCCTGCGCGCAATGACGAATACAAATGTCTGGATTTTCGGCCATAGTTTCGTGCACTGCAGCAATGTTTTCAGCTGAACGGCGTCAACGAGCACCCAATGGTGTTTTCACATCTGCCACCGTCCCAGTTTGTTTGAATTTACGAATAATTTTTCCAATTTCACTCTTGAAACTTTACTTAGAGTTTTGAAGTTTGTTGCTTAACAAGTCTCAACAAATTTGGGCAGAAGAAAAAAACAATAGAAAATTAAAATTAAAATTAAAATACAAAAAAAAAAAAAAACGGAAATTCAAACTGAAAGCATTATAAAGAATTTCAATTTAAAGAAATCGACATTCAGCAAGAATAGAATTTAAAACTGCAAAACAAAAGAAATGCTATTTAACAAAGAATTCTATGCTTTGAAGAATGGAAATTCTATCGAAAGAATTTAACTTTCTTTTTTACCTTAAAAATCAACATTGTGATCTGCAACATCATTCTCTGTTTGAGTGTTAGAAACGACGAGTCAACAATACACATTTGAAGTCTATTGTTTTATACTTGATCCAAAAACTTTAAGAGTGGACAGGTTTCAAATGAAGGCAGTACAGAAATATAACGGTGATTATTGTTTCCCTTTCTTTCTTTCTTTCTTTCTTTCTTTCTTTTTTCACGTGTTATATAAACAGCAAGTAAATTAATTAGAATAAAAAATCAGTATGAGTAATAAGTAACGAAAAGAAAGGAAAATGTTCACCTATTCAAAACTGAAAAAGAAAATAAATAAATAAAAAAAATAAATAAAATTAAAAAAATCTAAAAGTGGATCTTTGTAGTTAGTTTTCAGATGTTGCGTGTGTATAAAAAGTGTTCCTGCGAAAAATTCGTTTCCAACTGGACATTCAGTTTCTACGTTTCCAAAACAAAAACAAAAAAAACAAACAAACAAAAAACAAACAAACCAAAAACAAAACAAAAGGCCCCCCCAAAAAACCCAGCTTTTCCCGGAAGTTTTGCAAACATCTAATAGAGTGAACCTTTTATATAAAGTGGAAATGAAGTCTCTCGACTGATATTAATTTCTCAATAACTTTTTGCCATTAAAAGAGTGAAGAGCATTCAACAAATTCAACATTGATATCTTTGCAAACATCATCGAGAGAAAGGGAGGCTTTATTGTCTTTTGCAGACATAATCGAAAGAAAGGGAGGTTTTATTGTCTTTTGTTGAACACACTTTAAACGATTAAATTCTTAAAAATCTTTCATCCGTATTTTCACTGTTTTCATTTTTTAATGGCTTTGTTTCTTGAAGTGAATGGATTTTCATGGATATATATTTAGCAAGCATCAGTCTGGAATATATTTTTTGTTTTGCTATCATCTCGTTATTTCTGGCAAACCGTTCTTGTTTACAATTGATTTTGAAATAAATTCACCGCATGGCGAGTCATCCAAGTGAAAGACTGGGTATAATGATAATAATCTACAAAGCTGGCTTTTCATCTTCGACATCGATTGTTTCCGAGTATACAGCTCGATTCACTTTTCAATAACTTTCTTTCTTTCTTTCTTTCTTTCTTTCTTTCTTTTCATTAACTCTTCATTTGCTTTTTCCTCTTAATTTCCTTTGAGCTCTTTCTTTCTTTCTTTCTTTTCTTTCTTTTCATTAACTCTTTCTTTCTTTCTTTCTTTCTTTCTTTCTTTCTTTCTTTCTTTCTTCAGGTTTTTTTTTCATTCATCTCTTTTTATCTTATTGTCATTCGTCTAAAACTCTTTTTAATTGAACTTTTTTATTGACTCTTTCTTTTTCTATATATTATTTCCTGACTTCATGTTTATTTTAAACTTATCTTTTAAAGTTTTCCTTTTCAAATTCAATTCGTGATCTCTATCGATATTACCGAAATCAGTTTATCTTACGTTAAGAAAAAAAAAAGAGGAAAAAAATTAAACTCAGACGTTAAAAAAATATTTTCTAATCATTTCCAAACTAAAAAAAATGGTAAAACCTTATCATCTGATCTTTACAACACAATTACATTGATACCTAATTAAATACCAACCAGGTGATTCCCAGTAAACGGAGTCAAAAGCCGAAGGCATCTTTATCAAAAGTATACTCTCTCCGTTTAGTAATTTCCCAAGACGCTTCTTTGACAAAACCTTTTTTTTTTCTTTCTTGACACATATCAACGCTATCACTAAATCTTGCAAAATTGTAAAACTGGTCTTTATCACCTTTACCCACGCGTTAATGTCTTTTAATGTCAATAAATCAGTTTTCAGGACGCATTTTCACGACTTTGAACTGGAACAGTGCGTCTTAGTTGGGTAGACGTCATTCTTTTCAGTAAATCATGTAAGAATTTCTCGGTACATTTGTTATAGAAGAATATTATTTTAACGACACCTTAATTCTTCAGTCAGAACAAAGCGAATTGATCATATTACGGTGAATCGGTTCTGTATTTTTGAATTCGAGACTCTTATGTCTAGGAATAAAAAAAAAAAAATCCAAATTGATAAGAATTATTAATTTCATGGAAATTTCCTGCAGTTTTAAGGAAAAATAAAAATACTGAAAAGCCGAATTCAGGTGTAAATTAGAAGTTTAAACGTTTTAAATAAAAGACAGTTTAAGTTCCATGTTAGAATCTGGACACCTTTCTTTGAATTAGAAAAATAAAATCCCATTATTATAAATAATATGGATTAATTCTTGGTCGCTAACAATCTCTTTCTTCTTGATTTTCAATACATCTTTACAGTAAAATAATTTTCAATGCATTTATAAACTAACATGTGATGCTTTTCATTCGAGAAATCATATACAATGCATATAATAGTCTTAATTAATAACGACCAGTGACTATAATTTTCTGACCAGCGACTATAATTTTCTTCTTGATTTTCAGTAGACAAAATAAAGACTGAGTACTTAATCTTGTTAAAATTAATTACAGGTGAAAAAGACATTTTCATCGCTTACTAATCACAACTTTTACACTACTGACAAAAACGAACTTTGTTAGTGCAGGAATGGGTTATAGTTAAGCAGTGGATTAGTAAAAGAGTCAGTGGTTATTTTTTTAAATATTATTTATCAAAAATGTAATCACCTTCATTTTCAACGACCGCAACTCAATGAGAAGGCAAATCTTCGATTTCATGTAATCTGAGTTTTTCGGTCGAAAAAAATTTGAATAATTTCTTTGTTGCTAAATGTTCTGTCACTAAACAAATGAAAATCTGTAAGTGTTAAATTTGTTGAGTATAGATAGGAGAGTGTCCTAACATTGTCATGCTGGAGAATAACATCTTTTCTGTTTACCAAAACAGGACATGTTCGACGTAAAGCTTCGTTTACTCGATCAAGTTGCAGGCGATAAACATCTTGAGTTGGTGATCCTTCCTTGTTGCAGAAGGTCGTACATATTCCGCAAGACACAAAACAAGGAAATTTTCAGGTGAAGTTTTGGTTTTGGTATTGGCATTGATTTCTCATTTTGTGATAACCAATGCCCTTTTCTATTTCCATTGACATGCAAAACCCATTTTTCATCACTTGTTTCAATACCATAATGAAAAAGCAAGATTTACATGTTTATAGGATGTAGCAAGATTTTGAAATTTTCCTCAAAGTATGTTTTATGTGTCATAGCTGACAAGAATATGCGAGTAGCATAGCGGCTATCGGCGCTGAAAGTGGAATCAGCATGGATAGTTCAAATTCCGTTCACTTACGCACAAATAACCTTGGAAAAAGTATGAATTCATCCCTTCCAAGCAAAATGGGTAAACTAGCAAGGAAAGATTGAGTTCTTTAGCATATACAAATACCTTTACCTTACAAATACCTTTACCTTACAAATACTTTTGGTGTCTCGCCGTATATCAGTGGTTAAGGAAGTTAAACACAGAAAGAAAACTACAAGACTTTCTAGACAAGATAGTAAAGGAAAGCGAGAACAAAGGATTAGTCATCAACTGTAAGAAGACAGAAAGTATGGATGTCAGCAAGAGAAATAAACAGAAGACGCGAACTATGAATTGGAGATGTCAACATCAAACAAGTATGTAAGTTTAAATATCTGGGAAGTAAAACTTAGTTGCCAATCTGGTAGCACGTTTACATTCATGGAGTTGAGACGCCAATGAAGAAAGCTTAGAACAATTGTCATGAAAATATTTTGCGAGAAGATAGAGTAAAACCACGTTACGTCGGTGAGAAAGTGACTGAAGTCAAGATACCAGGTCAAGATCAATTTCATTAAAGACCGTTCTTTGTCAAGAACCTCGAGATATACAGGGTGCGATGGGTGAATTGTCGTCATTTTATATTTTTAATTTCGCGCGTGCGAGTTGTTTGTCTTTGATTTTGTCGACTGCACAGTAAAGTAGGATCCGTTGGACAATGTCTGGGAGAAAAAGAACACCATGACGAAATTCACTCCGCCCAAAATTTGGGGACGGCATGCTTTACTGCTTGGCATTCGCGCTGGAATCTCCAATACGAACATTTCAGAGTGTTTGGGTGTCAATCTGAAGACAGTGCAGAGGATTCGTAAAGATGAGTCAGATGGTAATTACGAAGATATGGCAGCTCGGAAAACTCACTCTGATCGTTCTGATAAGAAAATAACTTCCGAATTTGTTAGTGAGGGCCTCAGACGCAATAGGGATGCCTACATCAAGTGCCTTGAGGCGGTAGTGCAGCCCTGGATCAAGAGGGTGGCTGATGGAAGACCCTATGTCTGGCAACACGACTCATGTCACACAAGAAGGAGAACCCATTCATGGCTGTCAGACAATTTCTGCAATAACATCACCCCTTATATCTAGCCATATAACTCCCCAGTCTGCAACTCCTTTGATTATTATGTGTGGGGAGAAGCTGAGAGAGAGGCCAACAAAACTCCTTGTAACACCAAAGATGAACTTAAGGGAAGGATTATGGCAGCATTCACTAACATAAGCAAGGAGACCGTCCAGAAGAGTTGCAGGAGATTCCGAAGTCGTCTGGAGGTCGTGCTTGAGGCCAATAGCGATTTTATTGAATAAATTTACTCTTTAGTATTTCAAGATATTTTTGTAATGTTGGTAAATTTATCTGTTAAAATGAAATATCATTATTATTTTCTGTTGTATCCTTAAAGAGGTTACAAACAGAAAAAGTGGTACTCAAGTGAAGGAACAGAAACACGCGCGTAGATGAAAGAAGAGGGATTTATTGTAAAAGAGAATACACTACTGAGAGACAGGAAATCGGGTGACAGGCTAGTAATTCCCAATGCAAGCTCCTAGGTATATCCTGTACTCACTATATATAGCTACTGATATAGTCAGTCCACATAGGCGATAGGGAGTGTGGGACATTCCATTACAACATTTTCAACATTTTCATTTTTGCGTAATTTAGACAATTTATTTATCGCACCTTGTATAGTAGGAACACCACACAAGATGTGGGAGCAATATTCCATGCATAGATGAATGGTAGATTTATAAATGTTCAATCAATTAGTAAGTTGTATGCCGCATCTTTTTAGAATGTTAGCAATAATAACTATCCGCAACTTGCTGCCGTTTTATAGCTCTAAGCGACGTTTGTCTCTTTACTACACTTCGTTATTCCTGCTGTCATCCATTCAGTCAAACATTAAATAAGTTGCTTCATATTTACCTCTATCTACACCTTTCCCCAATAATCCTTTCAGTATTAAATTTTTCAAGCCACCCTTCCTCGTAATGTGTTACAGAAATTTTAATTTATTTTAAGTGTGAGTGTGTTGTAACCTAGGGAAGGTTAATGAAGAGAATAATCACACGAAGGTTGGAAAATGAACGATAATACTTAGGACAAGAACAACACATAAAAGGTTCGCCAACGGCGCGTAGAAGTAGTCAACAGCTAGAAGTAAGTGAATTCCACAATGAATCTTCAACTGCAGGATATTTACCAACCGCCCCACGCGGTCAGATGTGGCACAAGTTCGAATTTAATGTGGGGTATCCGAGCCCATAGGCTCGGCCCAAAACTCCTCGTAGACCCTGTATAAAACGTGGTCGGGTAGTGTTTCCTGAGATGAGACTCTGCCCTTCGACATAGCCTCGTCTGGGGCTTCTCTCTGCTCGGAGGGAGAGAGTTTGACCAGCAAAGCTCCAACTGAAGGATATTTACCATCAGCCCCATGGCCAAAAATTCCCTGTAAACCCCGTATAAAATGGGGTCGGGTAGCTGTTTCCCAAGTCGAGATTCTGCCTTTCAACATAGCCTCGTCTGGGGATCCTATCTGTCCGGAGGCAGAGAGTTTGATCAGCACAGCTGGAGACGAATCTCCAACTATACATTAACGTACAGTATTTAATACTGTATTTATGTGAATGGGGGCATACCCATTATCGTCCGTAGGCATGCTACAACAGAGTGTCTCTCTGGTTTCTAGTTTCTTTAGATATTCCCTGTTGCTCACGGATTCTGTCCAAGATAATTCCAGTATCAGTCAGAAGAACCTCATCTTTGTCGCTTCGAGCATGTTTTTCATCTTTAAGGAAATTGTCCAACATTCAATGACATGCAAGAAGATAGATATGAAACAACGTTTCAGTACTCTTAATCCCTAACGAAACATTCATATGTCTTAATACTTTGTTTATTTTCTGGAAGGCATCTTTCGCTATTCCGATGTGTATTCGGGACTTCCCGTAGTTACCCTACCCAGATCGCTGCAGTTTTGAATCAACTTGATACTAATGTCTCCATTTTCGAAACTCACACCTTTGACTGTCTTTCTTGTTGAAGGCCCTTCATTCTGTCTTATAGTTTAGTCATATGTTTAATCACTTCTCGCTATCCTTTGCTACATTATCGAGGAGTTTTCCTTCTGAGTTCGCTATTAACACAGTGTTATCAAATGACACACGTATTTAGTTGTGTTTGCGAATACTTTTATGTCTTTGAAAAGTAGCTGGCGATCCAGTGAAATGTCACAATGCTTGCTTTGTTAATGCTACGCTTCGGAAGTTCACTGTGGTAATGTAATTTGCCGATGCAATATTTTAACAATCTTATGTGTGTTATTAGATTTGTTTTGAAAAATATAATTTAAAAACATTCCAATTTTCAATATTTGAAAGAATTTCCTCGAAATAACATCATCTTTCACTTATTTAAAACGAGTCAAGTCTGGTACAAAGTAGTGAAAATTAAATCATTTTAGGTCTGTACCTGAACCAATGTACACAGTTGAATATTGAATTTGAATTTGTACGCCTAAAATTATTTTAAAATTACGTTTTTTTTCTTTTTCGTTTTATTTGATTTTTCATTGTATTTTATTTCTCTTTCTTTACAAAACTTTGTTTAGTCTGGCACAAGACCAATAGCTGTTTTCACTTATCTGATGTTCTTAAGCAGTGGTCTTTCCAAGGTTTGACGTTTCTTAACTTCGAATACAAATGGGAAGCACCTAGTGAGGATCGAACTCACTATATAATTAATGGTGAGAGGATCGCTATTTCTTTAATTTACCTTTCTTTTCCTTTCTTTTCACTTTTTACTCTTCTCTTGCCTCCTCCCCCATCTTATTCATGTTCCTGCTTGTTTTTTTTCCTTTCTCTTCCTTTTTCTTCTCTTCCTTTTATTTTCTTCTACTCATACCTATCGCCTCCTCCCCGTCCTTTTCACCCCCTATACTTCTTTTGTATTTCCCTCTTTCCACTCCCCCTTTCACCAATTTTTCTGCCTCTTGATCTTCTTTTATCTCTTTCTTTCAATTTATCTTTTTATTTTTCTCTTCCTGTTGGGGACATCAAGGCTTAAAGCATTTCAAATTGTTTTCCCGCCTTTATTGATTAAAAATTATTGTTTGCAACCGCACGTTCAATTGAATTAAATTTCTATGTTTTTCGTTTAATCTATGATAAAGCTTCTTCTTTAGTTTTATTTAATTTCTTTTTACCCTAACATGTTTATTGATCAAATCTTGGACCGTTAAAGAAATTGTATGCATTTAGAACAAAGAATTAAATTAAAATGAGACGAGTTTCCATCTTGCGCCATGGTAGTTTATCAAGTCATGTTGTAACGTCTTGCCAGTCGGCATCTAAAGCCATTATAAGTATTTTTTAAAGAAATTCCTAAATTAACTACAGATGTTTTTCGTTCCGATTTTATTCTATACTGTAATGTTGACTACATTGGACTTGTTGTTTGTTTGATAGTCTGAGATTAAGTATTTCTATTATTCCACATATATTATCTTAATTTCGACGAGTTTCATCATATCTTTTACTGTTTTTATGAGAAACTTTATAAGAAATGACAGCAATGCTTCAATGGCAACAGCAGCAGAAACTACAGTAGAAAAAGAGAAGCCTCGATGAGTGCAGTCAAGCGTAACATGTAGCAGAAGCACTCCTTAGTAGGTAGGTTAGGTTTAAGGCTCCAAATTCTCCACTCAGAATTGTCCTGACTAGTGGATTAAAGCGTTGATTCATGAATTTGGCAACATAGTAATTGTGAGTTCAATTCTTGAGCCTGAGGAAACTGAGCGAGTAATACCTGAAAAGTACTAAATAAGAACTAGATATCCCTAGGCATTATCGGCAAATGAGAACAATCTATTCCCATAGATTAAATAAAGAGTTCAGTTCGAAATCCCCTGATGGTTACCCGGATCGACAAGCACCTGATGAAGGCAGGAGGATACAACGGCCGAAATATTGTGGCAACAATAACGAAGATGAAGATAATAGATTGCATGTAAGTAAAGTTTTAATTAATTTTAAAAAATTATTTCCGGTGAAAGTAACACTTTTCTTCCAAAATATCAAAATGAAGGAATTCATTACTTTTTTTAATTTATGCGTAGAATTGGTCAACATTTAGCTAAGCATTCCTGCTTCTATTTTTCAATTATTCTTTCCCATAGAGACTCTCGTCTTACTTGAATTAGCGTATTATAATACTTACTAATTGATCAATTAATTAATAGTGCCTTTAGTGACCCGCATCCGCGTTAATTGTATTCATGCACCGTTAGACAAATTTACTAAAGACAAAATACGAAACCATTACCAATTGAGGCAATAAAGACCAGGATATGTATTGTGTTAACTTTGTGTATGTGTTGTAACCTAAGGAAGGTTACTGAATAGAATAATCATACGAAGGTTGGCAATGAACGATAATACTTAGGACAAGAATATCACACATAAAATTCACCAGCGGCGCGTAGAAGTCAGACAAGTGAATTCCACAATGAATTTCCAACTGCAGGATATTTACCAACGGCCCCATTCGGTCAGATGTGGCACAAGTCCGAATTTAATGTGGGGTATCCGAGGCAGTAGGCTCGGCCAAACTTTCCCCGTAGACACCGTATAAAACGTGGTCGGGTAGCTGTTTCCCGAGACGAGACTCTGTCCTTCGACATAGCCTCGTCTGGGGCTTCTCTCTGCCCGGAGGCAGAGATTTTGACCAACACAGCTGGGGACGAATCTCCGACTGCAGACCAACATACAGTATTTACTACTGTATTTATGTGAATGGGGGCATACCTATTATCGTCCGTAGGTATACTAAAACAGTATGCAAGCAGTAAAAGAATAATAAAAACAGAAAATTTACAACACATAATCAAAAGCAAGTTATAAAAACTCATTAAAGAATGAACCTGATAGATTTTATATCGTTGACAAGGCCGAAAATAGCAACCCGCCATTAGCTGAAACAAGAAGCTAAATATGAAAGGTGAATGCTAAGTTAGTATGAAATTAACAACTGTGGATGCATTATTTTCACTATTTATATTTGGACTATTGTCCTCATCTGCTTTAATTGAATTTATTTCTGAAATAATGACAATATTTAATCTCGAACATTCAGGTAGTTTAAGAATGCCGGAGATCGGCTTGGTCCTTGTATAGTAATAAAAAAAATGAAGATGAGGATACTAGTAAGAATAATTCATCGATAACACAAAACTCCAAACGTTGGAAAGGTCAGAGAACGCACTAGCTAGAACTTGTTGATAAAAAAATAAAGGAAACAAAACAAAAAAATAAGGATCTTACTCTGAATGATTTAATGGAAAAATGACAAAAACTTTTGAGCTCAGAGCTTGTAACAACATATTTGATGACGTCATTACATCTACGTTGTCTTACTGTTGCTTTTTAGATAAACATCAGCCTACATAAATACTTAGACGTCGCACTCGGATTTTTTGTGTTATTACGAAAAACATAACTTAGTAGTAAAAAATGTTTGTTTTTAAACCCCGAGATCCAAATAACAAGATTATATATATATATATATATATATATATATATATATATATTAAAAAAAAAAGGACAGTTTTGAGGTTGTTTTTCTCGTTTGAATTGTTTTCGCAATCGAAGCACTAATAAACATCAATAATAAATAAAATAAAATAAAATAAAATAAAAATTGACGCCTTTTTACCTCCTGAGGAAAAAAGAAAAATCCGAAATCTGAATGAAAAACAACTGAAATGAGAAACGTCATCATTTTTTTTCTATCATTTTCTTTTCCTGTGTTTCTGATTTTATTTTATTATTTTTCAAATCTAACTCTTGCGATTTTTCCGGTACAAACACCGGGCCTGATGTCGGGGCAGTTGTTTCATCTCTTGAAAGATTTAGAAGCAGGAAACGTGTTTCCGAAATCGCTGGTGATTAATTGTTGATTTAATTATTTCCAAGTGTTCAGGTGTGAATATTTGACTTGTTTTTCAAGTAGATGGATATCATTGCTTCAAAACAATTAATGATCTATATTTTGGGGATTGTTTATTAACAGCTGCTGCTGTTGCTTCTTCTTCTTCTTCTTCTTCTTCTTCTTCTTCTTCTTCTTCTTCGTCTTCTCGTTTAATCCTCTTTCTTACTTTCCTAATCGTCTTCATCACCTTTCTTATTTCTTTCTTTTCTCTACTTTTCCCTATGAAACCTATTTCTTTTTTCCCGCCTATTGTATTCCGCATCTTCAGTCTCTCCACACCTCCCTACTTCACCCTCTTCACTTTGTTTCAATGGTTCTTCATTATTCATCAACCACTCTGCCTTTTACCCATTCTTTTTTCCCCTTTGTAACTTCTCTTCAATTTCTACTATCAACTCGTCCTCTTCCTTCCCACATGCATCTTTTTCTCTTCTTTATCATCCATCTCATCCTTTCTTCATCATTCATCTATTTGTTTGTTTGTTTGTTTCTTTCTTTCTTATTCTCCTCTCTATCGTTTTCGTTCACCCACTCTACCGTCTCATTTTTGGTGCCGCTTTAGCGTGTTTCCTACCGAACTGTTTCTGTTTTAGTGTCTATCCTACCAACACATCTGTATCCTACATTATTAAGACATTGTCTCGACTTTTTTCTCGATATGTTAAGAGACATTCACAATGTTTTTATTTAAACGATTCAAATATCTTGTTTTATGATTTTTTAATAAAATCTTTTATTATATTTTAAAAAAAATTGTATAATACAATAATAAATGGTATCTCTCCTTCCATTTTTTCTTTTCTTCTTACTTTGGATAATGTAGGATACAAATGTGTTGTTAGGATACATTGATCGGGTAGGACACAGGCTAAAGTGTGACCCCATTCTTTTTACTTCTCTTACATCATTTATTCATCCATTCTCCTCTTCTTTGTTTACTGAGTCTTATTATCACCGATGGATGTTCAATCAGAAAACTCGAAGTAGCAAGATCTATAGTTAAAAAAAAGTTTCATTATTGGATTGCGATAGATATACATATATAAGATATAAATATTCAGGGTTCAGATCAGAAAAATTGTTTTCCCATCATGCTCACGATGATCATCCATAATAATAATAGAATCATCATCACTATCATGAGTTCCCATTATATATATATATATATATATATATATATATATATATATATATATATATATATATATATATTATATATTTTTTATGTCTACACATTCTTTTATAGCTACAAATATTTAAGTAAATGCTCTGTTTATAATAAACTGTATTAACAACATTTACCAGCCTGAAACAGCATTGACTTAAATATTTGTATCTATAAAAAAGAATGTATAAACATAAAAAAGTCTTAAAATAATTGTCGGACTTTGTCCATTTCATAATATATATATATATGAAACATTCCAGATAGATTATATCTATGAAAAGACAGTATGAATAAAGGTAAAAAGGAAAACTTATCTTAGCCAACGCGTTTCGTCCTATGATGGACTTTAACAACAAAAAAAAAAAAATCCTCAGAGAACTAAACGCGTTGGCTAAGGTAAGATTTACTTTTGTCTTTATTCATATATATATATATATATATATATATATATATATATATATATATATATCGGAATGTGTAGCCTGAAGTTTGCATTAAATGCGTGAAACTCTCGTGTCGTGTTGACGTTGTTTATATTCACTAATATGTGTGTGGGTGTGCGTGTGTGTGTGTGTTATTTCAAACATTATTTTAGTGGATACTCGTTTTCTCGAGTATATCTATCGGCCAGTAGACAAAATAAATACTCTGTCTATATTTCTGAGATGAGGTATTATGTACACTATTTACATTGGTCAAAATAAAGCGAAATAAAGGGTTCAGTTCGACATTCCAACCACCTGAAGAAGGCCGGAGCATACAACGGCCGAAACGTTGTTATAAATATGGCAACAAAGATGAGGATGATAGTCCGAGCAATGTAAATAGTGGAAATAAATACTGTTTAAAATAAACGAATCTTCAACTCAAATACGGTCTACTACTGAAAGTAACGTTGTCGATAATAATACTCAAATATGTCGGATTAAAATCCATTACTTTTTAGAAATTGTTTAATATATATATATATATATATATATATATATATACACACACACACACACACACACATATATATATATATATATATATATATATATATATATATATATATATATATATATACTTTATCGGCCATATCTGTCGGCGGGATGACAAGCAAATCCCTATTACAGACGCCTGCTCAGTCCACCTGTGGTTTATTCTGCAAATATGCTGAGTAAACCTGAGTTAGAATTTCGTGGAGAGAACGCATAATCGTGCCTGATCAATTTTTGGAACAAGGTCAGCACGCTGAAACACTCGATAACGGTGACTTCGTGTCAGTACAATCACCCATGGTTCCCAAAGAGTCCCGTCTACACAATTCCATTCACAAGGATTGACTTAACTCTTGGTATTTTTGGGGAATCGATCTTTTTCTTATTCGACATTATTTCCTATTACTATAAACGTTATTTTTAGTGGGCACACGTGTTTGTGCTGTTGCCCCTGTTTTATTTATTTTTTCTCCTTCTTAAACAGTGAAATTAATAAAAACAGGACTAGACTGAGAAAGTCCTTTTAAAGAAAGATTATGCCGGTTGCTAGAAATTTAAATGTTTAAGAAAATTATATATATATATATATATATATATATATATATATATATATATATATATATATATATTTGAATAAAAACAGACCACTTGAAATGGTACATCTAACTCACTCATGTCTTCTCTCCCCCCTCACTTCGTTAATTTACATATGCTTAATACGGCCCGTCAAAAATGTGTAAATTTCTTTTCATTTTTCATTTCAACCTTTGGAAGTAAAGTCTGATGACCCAGAGCACATTAAAAGGGCTGTGGTGAAATAATTTATTACATGGAACCTTAAAGTGGTCTGTTTTTATTCAAATTTATTTGCTCTGAATTTACATTGATCTCTCTGGATATCATCCTCCTACCAATACGGATTACTTAGTTTTGCATAAACTATATATATATATATATATATATATATATATATATATATATATATATATATAGTACAGGTAATAGATCCGTTGGTATATAATCCAGGTGGATCCTAATAATATCAAATATTAAAACAGGTCCTAGAACTCAATGTATTTATTATAGAGAGCAAAAAATCCCACATTAGGTAATTTGGGATTTTTTTGCTGTGTAAATTAATATATATATATATAAATTAACTGATTTAAAAATATAGTTTCAATCCTACATAGGAAGTACCATGTTTCAAAAACAGAAACTAAACATTTCAAATTCAATTATATAATTAAATCAAAAGCATTAGTTCTGTTTCATCTTCAAGCGAATTTTTGAATATCAATAAGAACACCGGATTATATATCTTACTGCACTTTCTTTTCTTACTATAACACACACACACACACATATATATAACAAGAAATTAAGATATTATGTTCACTATTTATTTTGTTTGAAGAAAACTGCGATAAAAGAAAGTTGTTTAGCGCTAATATTTCATGTACGAAGTGGGCTTTCTTATCTTGAAAATAATCATTCGAAGATCTGGTTTTTACACAGTCTCTAACAACTGGCCCAAATAGAAATAAATAACAAACTGAATCTCGAAAATACAAGTTAAAATAAAGAAAAAAATCCGTGCGTGTAGAAATATCATGTTGCGACAGTCTTCGAAATAAGGAGAACCCTGTTGTGGATCCCGCGTGAAAAATAGGTATCCAATAAACGACAAACGCAAGTATTTAAGCTAAGAAATTAAATGTATTTACACAAAATATAAAAGGTAATGCTGTTAGTAAAATCCAGGAACGCCGGTTAGTATCAAATACAGATAGATATATACAGTCTCGAAGTAGGACTTCCTTAGAGTCTACGTGCTTGTAACTGACTTCTACAAGAGGTTACTTCACTCTATCCGACACTCACAGACGACTCCTGTACAATTCATCTTCTCTGACTGACTGTGGCTATTTTATGGCAGCAGGACGAGTCCATTATATCCGAAAAGGGTGGATCCCATAACACACCCAACACCGTAAACTTCTACAAAATCAAAACATTAACCTAAAAATTCGAATAATATTCTTAAATAGTTTCGTCATAATGAGACTTTCATATGGATGTCATGAATCGCGTTAAAATCGCTCAAAAATATCTAAACAGTCAGTCGTCTCCACCGTTTTCTCAGATAAATAATTAAAATATCTTCGAGAGAATGAAGCCTATAGGTCTTAGAGAGGACAATATTTCTTTGAACCTTGTGATCTGGCGCTACAGAATCACAAATAAAGAACTCTACCAAATAACAGAAACCACATCACTTGAGGACTTTCAACAAATGTAACTAATAAAATGGATATCATATGTAATGCGAAGAGAAAATAATGACGTAATCAAGATGTTTGTTTTCCACAAAAGAATGGGTATGACGATAAACTACATCCGGCAGCAAGACCTCTGATCGAGAGGTTTTTAAGTGCGTGGAATCACCTCTTAATTACTTTAATTTCCAGGTCCACCCTGACACGGAGTGGTAGCACCTGTTATGGGAAAACTGGTGTTAAAACACCATGGAAGTATAAAAATAGATTTTTATAGCAAAAATACCAGCGATACATTAAAAAAATATTACCAGCAATACATTTGACTCTTGACAATAAAAACCTCTTTACAAAAATACGTCAATGAAACTTGATCTACAATTTCTTACTAAGAATCAGTCAGTCATGTGCCATGCGTGATACACGCTTAGGCGATCATGTATCATTCAGTACATGACTGACGTGGCAGATTTTTTCCCGCAGTAGGTTGCCATTTCTTTCTGCGCTAGACCAATTGTCATCCAAGGCTATAGAACTCGGTCTTTCCGACTATTTACTCATAGCAGGGGAGGGGGGGGAGAAGAAAACGATTCATACCTTTCCCAAGTGAATGTAATGGATTCGACTGGAATTCGAACGCGGCTCTCTGATTCCTCAATCCGAGGAATAGGAGAGCCGTTACCCATTACCCCACCGTGCCTCCTTACTAAGAATACATATTCTATTAATACGAACCTATACTAAAAATCTTAAATAATTCATTCCGAAAACAAAATAAACCAAACCCATTAATACAGGAACGAGCAATAGTGTTTATCAAAGCATAACTTAGATGTGGCATAAAAAAATAAGAAAAAATGGAGCATCCTTTGAGGATCGGACTCACTACTTAGTCGTAATTGATTTAGCGAGAGTAGCTTGTTGACCATTACAACAAGTCGAAGTGCCTAAACGATTTTCTAAACGTAACTTAGATGTGGCACAAGGCTGAAAGTATGGGTCATCCAGTGGAGATCGAACTTAATACTCAGTCGTAATTGATTTAGCGAGAGAGATTGCTGACCATTACAACACTTCGATGTGCCCAAACGGTTTTCTAAGCGCAGCTTAGATGTGGCACAAGGTCGAAAGTATG